GGGAAAGTTGGAGAGGTGCATTGATGAAAAGAAGTGTGTTCTTAAATCCAAGAGCAAGGTTGGCTATGTGGGGATTTAGTGAACAAAGGTTTGGTATGTGGTTCGCATATCAAGGCATGTCTAAGATTCAAGGTTCCAAGAAGGCAAGGAGCAACAAATTTGGCAAGGGGGATCTCTCTTCTGCACAGGAGGTCCAAGTTACTCAAGTTTAGACTTGGGTGGAGTACCTTCCACCAAAGGTACATTGAGGCAAGAGGTTAATTGCCATGGTGGAGCTTTTGGAAATTACTAGAACGATTTCTAAGAGGTTGAAGAGGTTCTAGAGGATAACAATGGTTCACGAGGTGATTAAGGTTCGCCAAGGTGGAGATTGTTGGAAATTTGGCTCACCTAAGGATACAAAGTCCTCTTTTGTGTGCTATGGATTTCTACCTAAATTCCATGACATGGTTGACTCATTTCTAGAAGAATTTTGGAGTTGCCCATGTGAGTAAATATTGGCTTGCCATCTTTGTCAAAAATAGGTGACTTGTTTGGTGGCACAAAATGGTGGAATGTTTGGTAGCCATCCATGGTTAAGTTTGGTAGCCAACATTTGAATAGTGTGAGGTTGCATTCACACTCTTGCATATTTGGCTATATAAAGGGGTTTAGCATGTAAGAATAAAATCATGGCTTAAGAGTTCTCTAGTGTATCAAAGTGTAGAGCAAGGGGTGAGAGAGAAAAGAGAGCTTGGGGAGAGAATAGAGTTCTAAGGGGGTTTCTTTGTAAACCAAAGTTGTAACTTATTCTTTCATTAGTGAATTTCTCAAGGGGATCACCAAGAGGATGTAGGCAATTGCTGAACCTCTATAAATTCTTGTGTCATTTTGTACTCGGTTGGTTTCTCAAGTGTAGTGTGTGTTAATTGTGTTTGTCACAAAGTCCATCAACAACAAGATCATTAGGGGAGGGTGAGTTGAGTTTGTTCTCAAATTCACAACAACACTGTGGCTATTCTATTTCGGCACTCTTACCTTTTTCTCCTATGGTTTTAAAGCAGTGCCACCAAATAGCTGCAGCTGCTACAACTAATAATATGCCGATTGAAATTCCAACGGGGACTCCTACCGAAACACCGAGATTGTGCTTCTTCTTCTTCTTATTGCAAGAAACCTGTCCGGATAGATTTGGATTTCCGCACAAACTGAAAAGGTAATTCAAGGCAAATGTAGTAAGATTTCCATGCATATACTTCTTTTTTAAAATAAGTATAGTAGATGCTAAAGATTCTCAATAATCTAGTTATCGGAAAATTAATGTATATATACCTAGAGAAATTTGAAAGTAATCTAGTTATCGGAACATGCGCATGTCAAACACGATTTAGGCCGAGTTACACACAAAATTCAAAGATCATAGCTTCTTTTTTTGTTGGCAAAATAAAGGAGACCTTAATAGTAGCAAACCATTCTTGCTTCTGTCACTGAGTCTCACTGGAACTGAGCCTGTGAGCTTGTTGTTCTCCAAGTTTCTGCAGAAGTAAAGACATACTCTAACCATGCTTTCTCACTAATTAAGGATTGTAATGAACTTAGCCCCATGTATGTACATAATCTTGAAAATGAACTTACAGGACATTTAAATTTGGCAATTGAGACAAAAAGTCTGGAATTGGTCCTGTTAAGTTGTTGTTTGATAAATCCCTGAAATCATGAGCATGAGCCTGAGCCGATCAACTCATATGCTAAATGAAACCAACATTGGGGCGAAAATGAAATTACGATCTTACCATATATGCTGCTGTAGGCTACACCATATTCATTAGTTTTGTAATACTCATGACAACATGTATATTAATTTACTTACAAAGTTTGTATCATTGTGAGATTGGATATAGAAGGAGCTATCAGCCCTGTTAATCCACTAGACGACAAATCCCTACAGATTGCATTGCATTTACCCGTAACTATAAACCAAGTTAAAAAGGGATAATTAAATCAAATCATCATTAATTTTGTCTGAGGACACACACATATATATATATATATATATATACACTTACAAGGATTTGATATTTCGGGACTCATTTTCATGAGCACTAGCACTACAAGTGACACCTTCCCACAAGTAATCCTTGGGAGCACACGGATCTCCTTGCCAGTTCTTAATAATTATATAAGTTGACTTGATGTTTGCGATTGCGTCAACTAATAATGTTTTCATCATATACAAAAAGAAGGACGTTATCTCAAGAAAACTTAAGGGGCTTTTAGATTCGAGCCCAACTCATGCAACTATTATTCAGAGAGGCTATAATGAGGGGTAAAAATGTGGGCTTATAATGAGGAGTTCCTTAATAGCCATCTGATTTAGTGCATAGTTATTATTGAACTGCTAGATTGAACCCTCATTATAAGCCTACACTTTTACCCCTAATTATAGAAGATCCCACTATTATTAGATTTAATCATCGATTTAAGCCCAATGACATTGTGTGATACATATACTCTACCTAACCGAAGGGTAGGTACGTAATAATTGAGGGAAGGAGTACTTACAATCTTTTTGGTTTGTTTCTGATTCTAAGAATTCTTTTACCATATAAATCTCGAACGCATTGAGGATAGGTAGGAGGAAAGAGTCTTCAGACGTAAAGATGGAAAAATTATAGGATTGTGCTCCTCCTCCTCCTCTGAAAGCAAGGGTGCTGTTAATAGTATTTGTGTACAAGTAACGAGGAACAAATGGGTCCGAAGTGAGCTCTCCATTTATGGTAATAGAGATCTCTCTGATCTGGCTGGCTTGGAGCTTTGCAACTTCTGCAAAGTGAATGTAAGTATAATATTCCGCATATTTATCAGCAGGCACCCAGGAAATATTCAAGAATTGGCTCGAAATATCTTTTGGCGTGGCAGCAGTACGCATGACATCAGATGGTAGTTGGTATGTGTTTTGATCGTTGTTTATGATGGATAGAGTACTTAATTGTGCCCAATCATCGCGGGGATAGGAATACCATAGGCGATCATAAATATCGTTCGGATACCTGTATGGCATACAAATATATATCATCAGTTTAGTTTTCGGCAAAAATACCATTGAATGCTTGCAAATGTATATATTATCTCCTACGCCACGAGTAATTGTAGAGTGGTATTAGAGTACGGCCATGTCAGATGGATAACTAGTTCACATGTATATTTATTGACGCTATTTCCTAAAAGGTGGGAAATATCAATCATGTCGTCCACCTTATGGCGAAACCAGGATCTCATGTATGGAGGCCTCTCACAAAATGTATATAAAAAAATCTAAACTCACAATACATGCTAAAGTAACCAAGAGGACCAAAACATTACATATATAAAAAATATTTACACATTTTTTCCTTTTGTAATCTACACATAAAATTTCTGGAAGACCCATTAAACTCAAGAGAGATAATAAATCAAAATTGTACAAACCTAAACAAACCATATGTGGAGAGAACACAATAAAAAAATTCACAAACCCAAACAAACCATAGGTCGAGAGAAAACAATAATAGATATAGTAAATTTAAGAAGAAAAAAAAGTAAAAAATAAAAAATAAAAAGAGGTGAGGGGTCTACGTCTACCCATATATTATAAACATAAACGAATTATACTATGTTGTCATATTTTAGTAACATACATAAATTTTTCCTAAGCAATGGCTCACCTATATCCAGCTGTATTAGCCGTTTGACCAACGTCATAGCGCAACAGAAGTGCCAAGGACTGTTTGGGCATCTGTGTTGGATAAGATGCAGTGGGTAAAGGCCTGAGTTCGATTGCTGATATAAACGGAACCCCAGTGCCGATGTTGACCAAACAAATATGTATATGGTTTTGCGCAGGGGTATGCAAGAGCTCCTTGATGGTGATGCTGGACGCATTCGAAAACGCCACTGAATCCCACAGAGTAGCTCCAAGATGTAGTTCAAATTCTGGTAAATTACCTTTCTGGCTATCGTAATTTCCATACACGAAGCTTGCTCGGATCAAATATTTAGCGCCGCCCGTAAGGCTTATGCTGTAGCAGTTTCTGGTTCCTCGGGGAAAGCTCCTAAGGAACCAGAAGGGCCGTGTAAATTGATCTCTGTAATCGAGCGATATGGACTTGCTGTCTCCTGTATCTGTTAGAGAGGAGTCTGAAATGTAGTAAATGCCGGTAATTCTTTCTGTGTAGCCGGGACTTTGCTCTAGACCACAATCTATACTTATGAAGCCTGGGAAAAAGCATGAGAATTATATACCAATTAAGATCAACTCTATTTTCTCACTGGAATCATATATATATATATATATTATATACCTGATTGATCCTGGGCATGAGCTAGGAGCATCAGAGCAATACTACCAAGCAGTGCCCAGAGGGATTGCTTGAATACCCACGACATCATAATACTTGGGCAATACGATACGTATTTGTTTTCAGAGACAGCATTATATATATATATATAGGGTTTTCTAGGGTCTAGTTGTATTTTTAAAAAATACTTTGTTGTCTTTTTATATCTAAGTTTACTTTTCAAAGTAAATAAGTCTGGTGAGAATAAATAATTCTGTTTACACATGTATCCAAATTTGATATTTTAAGTCTAGGGGTCTAGTTGTATTCTTCTCTTGTCTTTTTTTGTTTGTTTGTTTGTTTTTTTTTTCTGGTTTAGTATAGGATCTGCCCCCTTCCCATCCCCAGTGCCACATGAATTATATAGCTCATGGATGTAATTAGAAATTTCAAATCTTTATATGCAAACCAACTAGCTTACTTCCCAATGTTAAAAAAGCTCTCATGTTGGAATTCCCCTACCCCTATTTGATGCCAAAAAAAAAAAGGAAAAGAAAAAAATAATATTGGTATGTGACATACATATATATATACAATGTGTTGGAATTGGATCACCATTTGTACATGAAGTTTGGAAGCAAGAAAAGAAGATTGATACCGGTCACAATGTGTCGCAACAAAGCCTAATTGGCAATGAGTAGCCCAACTCCTTATAAGATAACATTTCTCTGATATCATCAACAAAGTTTAGGTTCTAAGGCCATCTCCAGCCATAGGGCTAAATGTAGTCCAGGACTAAAAATTTAGCCCCCCAAAATATTAATTTTGTAAAGAATAGTGCAGGGCTAAATTTTTCCATCTCCAGCCATGCAGGGCTATATTTTAGGATCCTTCATATTTTATTATTTATAGACAAATTTTAGGTTTTTAAATTTTAAAAATTAATAATAATAAAGCCAACAAAGGCAATTAAAAAAAACATGGAATGGTTTCAAGGGTCTGACCTCCAACGATCATGACCCAAAAAATTTTATAAGTTTTTTAAACAACACCAAACATCTAAAAACGTGAAGACATTTTAAAAATAAAGAAAAAAAGGATGGGTTCAATGTTTCAGCTCCAACGGTCATCAACAAGAATTTTTTATAATTTTTTTTAAAACAACACTTGAAAGATTTGAGGGTCTGACCACATTTATTATTTAAAAAATAAAAAAAAGGGAGTGGGGTAGGTCTGACCCAGCGGTCATTTACCAACAATTTTTTATACTTTTTTTCTCATATAGTACGAATTGGAACATTCAAAAAGGTCCAGCATGCTTTAATGGGGTTCTTGAAAAACACATATATGGGTCCCACTAGAAATTTGGCCTAGCCCAAAGCTGGGCTATATGTGGCCCTTCAAATTTGGCCAAAATTTTGTTTAGCCCATGACTGGAGATGGTTTTTGTATTATTTTAGGGCTATATTTGGGATATAGCCCATGGCTGGAGATGGCCTAACCAACAATCAATTGGCAATAGAGAAAGTAGCCTCCTTATAAGTCCATTAGTTATCTTAACTTTTCAACGTATGACAAAATACTCTCAACATATGTAATATAGGTAAATTTTCTAAGTTTGGAGCTTAATTATTATTTAATCCAAATCAATACGACTGTGTAAATCCCATAAACAGTAGTCTAAGGGTATTTTGGACATTAACTTCTAAAATAGAAACTAATTAGACTACTAAGTCACCAAATATATTTTTTTTGTTCGAAAAACTGCTAAGTCAACTAGTCGTGAAGGGACGTCATAAAAAAAGTGTCATTATCCTCAGACTTGAAAATCCTTTAACTTTTGTCTAACATTTTTATCTTTGTTTATACTGCCAAGTGGATGTTCACCACAATTTCCAATATAGTTTGATTATCAAATAAATCTAAGCGACTGTTTTTGGTACGTACTTGCTAGATTATGGAGGCATAAAGACGTCACGTATACACACGCAAATGCACGTTGAATATGAATCATGATTGGAATTTTACAAAGAACGCGGTTGAAGTTATATATAGGTCACGTTTGGTGGTTAGGAAATGGATTAAATAACTCACAAGATTAAAGATATATTGAAGTATAAAATGAAAATAGAGTTTAATGATTTTTCATTTTGTGGCAAATGAAAGGCTAAGTTATAAGGTAATTGACTTCTATGTATGAACATATTGCTACGGTAATGTGAGATTTCCAGCATATGGTAGCCAATTTTCATGATCTCTTAATTTTAATGATCATCTATCGTCTACTTTCTTTGTAGAATCAAATCTCATAATAATTGAAAATCCCTTTATTTTTATTTTTTTTGGAATTGAAATCCCCCCCTTTTTTTTTTTGGTCAAGGTAATTCATTCCATAAATATGAAAGGGATTACACAGTCAGAAAAAGCAAAAATAAAAACCAGCCCAACACTGATAGGTACAAGGCCTCAGCCCAACAGAAATAAAAACCAAATAAAAGAAAACCCTAAAACAAACATCTAGCCCAATATAAACACAAAGGAAGAACCCTAAATCTGAGAATCTACAGCCGCCACTTTTCCCTTGCCACGCCGCCGTCGCAAATCCACAACCGCCAGAGATAGGTAACCAGTAACTAGACAAACCATTGCTTAGAACGGAGAATGGTGGTGGACAAACCACCCACGCAAAGAGCGCTACCATAATCCTAAACGCATGAAAATGATCCTCTTTTTAATTATAAATATATAGGGCTCGTTTGGTACACCGTATTAGACTTTGGATAGGAGTAAATAGTCTATGTCAAGTGTTTGGTGTCAACTTGTATTATTTAATTACCCGACTATTTTATACGGATTAGGCTTTTAATACTCTCCTTACCTGACTAACTAATACAACCCACACACCCCGGATTAGATAATACACGCTTAATTATACAACTAGGGAAAAAGAACACGCGTTCTACGAAAAAAGTCAGACGCTCTTTTCTTCTTCTTCTCTCTAGGGTTCTTTTTTGCTATCTTCTCCACAAGTTATTTTCTTCACTCTTCTCCAGGTATCCATCTCTTACTCTCTCTCTCTCTTTTTCATACTCTCTCTAATATACTCCTTCTTACTTCTTCTCTATTCTTTATATATTTCAATTTTTTATTAAATTTTTGTGGAAATTAGGTTATTAATTTTTCTTTTTTGACATTTTTTTTAATCGAATGTTTTCTTTGTATGTGATATATTGATTCGATGTTGTGGGAATATTTAGATTGTTGGTATTAAACAGAGTAGTGCTAGTTTTCGTCCAAAAACAAACAACTGTGCTAGTGTTGGTAGTTTAGTTGAATACATACATACTTGACGATTAGGAGAGCAAAATTGCAAAATTAAAATTGTATGAACCTGAATTCTAGGAACCATTTTTTTTTTCTGGGCGACCATGGGCCCTTTCTGATGTTTTCCTCTTGAACCATTTTCTTAATTGATAAATTTTCTTTTTTCCTTTTCTTTTTACGATTCCCAAGCTTGTGGCCTTGGCTCTTTTGATTGCAATGCTTCTATTCTGCTACTACTTTCTCCTTCTTCTTGTTGTACATGGAAACTTTGATGTTCAGTACAGACATATGCAGATCAATATTCATAATACAATTCTAATAGTTAAACCACATATATTTATGTATATGCAAGCGAGATGGTATTTTGTAGTCTTCTGTCATGTCTCAATTTCCATTAAAATTATCAAAGATTTTTTTATATTTTAAATAGTTTGATATGATGTTATCCGGAACATCACCAAACACAGTATAACTTAGTCAGACTATTTATCCGAAACAGCTCCAAACGCCTTATAATATTATGCATAAATAGTCAGTACTCTCCAGAACAGATTAGTACTATCCGGCGGAAATTAATCAGTACAATCCGACGTACCAAACGAGCCCATAGTGTTATGGTAAAACCCATCGTGTTATAACGCCACTCAAAATTATATCTTCAATTGATAGGGTTGAAAAACCCATTATTCAACTTACAAATCAAAGTGTGGTCGATGACTTTTGTGGGTGGACCGTGGACGGGCTTGAAAGACCCATCATTAATAAATTATGCATTCTTAGTGTTAATATATAATTTCAATTATTATTGATTCCATTCATACAAATAGGTTGAACCAGTCGTCTTGTGAAATCTGGTCAATGAATACGTGTATACGTACATTTCACTGATGACAAATTAACACTTGTTCAACTATAATAATGCATCTTTCTCCTCAAAAGGAAAAAACTAATATTGCATCTTGGCAAGTGTCGCTTATTTTACCAGGAAAAGAAACAAAGTCGTTGTATCTCTTTTGTGGTTTCGGTATTGAAATTGGCACTGGCAATAATAAACATTAATATATTGTCTTCATCGCTACATTTTCCATAATAACAAGCGTTTATGACTTTCGAAATGAACTCTGAAGCAGTTTTCATTGGCATCCCTAAAGAATGATTGATTCCAAAGGCCTTAATTCCATTGCTGACACCTTGAGGAAAGCTCCTGACATAAAGCTAGTTGTTGTTGTTGAACGCTAATTATGATAATTTTGGTTTTTTTTTTTACAAGTGATAAAAGGGGAGGGAGAATCGAATATAGGACCTTAAAGTTCAGGATAAATGCTCTTAACCACTTAAACTACAAGCAAGTAATCTATTAGTAATGGATGTTTCAAGCCGTTTGACCCGTTCAAGTCAAGTCAGCAATATATACATTTGCGCATGAATATAACAGAGACTTAAGGGGTATTTTATTTTGTAGTAGTACTTACATGTTGTGGAATATCGACCTTTTAGAAGTTTCACCGGTGACTAGCTAGCCTAAAAAGACAAATACCAAAAACAGTTCATGACCATACAATTCATAACATTTAATACATGTCATAGCTCACGTCAATTAACATAGTCAATTATATGTTCATTGGCAAACTCATAAATTTTTTAGCAGATGTACAATTTAAAAAGGCTAAAATATTTATTAAAAAATTGAATAAAATAAACAAACTATAATTGATCATACCTCTAATCGTGTCGAATTTGCTACTGAATATTGATCATAAAAGCCAAATCAGAAAGAAAAAAAAACAGATTACAAAAAAGGGGGGAAAAACTAAATAAAAAAAATGAAAAAAAGAAGAAGAAACGAATTGAATTTTGGTCAAGAAGGAAAAATAAAACCAGCACAGCAAACTTACTTTTGGTGAAGAGGGAAAAAAAATGCAGCAATAGCAACCAAATTGATTTCCTTCTTTTTAAAATCTTTTTGTAATCCTTGATTAAATAAAAAAGAAAAAGATGTTTAAAAACTTTTTAAAGCCCATGAAATGCAGGCCTAACAATGTCAGGCCCAAAATGACATTGTTTTGTCCATAACTTTTTGTACAAAAATATAAGAGTCTGTCCACCCGGCTTTGATTTCTGGCTAACAGTTATATTGGTGTTTAGGGTTTAGGCGAATTGTCAATATACAGGGGTCTGGCACCCTCTTCATCCAACAGTTATATTAACTGTGCCCAAACCATGATGAGGCCTAACTTTGCCTTCACTAGGCCCATACCCTATCTGGCATTTATAAAGTGTTTGTGCTTATAAACCATGGAAGGAAACAACTCCCTTCCAATGTGGGACTAAATGCAAGTGTATTTTTCTTATACAAACTCTAACAATCCCATTTAAGACTAGGATTAGATGAAACAAACATGAGAGTAAATTTAGTGCAAGCCAGTCCAAGTCAAGCCAGTGTAACAAAAATTCCCGTAAGGAATTCGAAACTTTAAATAATATGTTTTTTCGATTACAAATGTTCAAATAATATTACAGAATTACCAACTAATAGTGTTACTTTCAGTTTCAGACCTGATGTGGGAGGTCTTTATAATTGAGCCGCTTGAACTGATTATATCATCAGTATCGCTCTCATAAGCTTCTGTAATCTTTGTTATTTCAGAAGGCATCTCAATTTCCAAACACTCTTTCAAATCATTAAACACAACAGTTATATCGGGCCTTTGGATTGCTGTTGAAGACACACATGCCATGGCAATTTCTATGGCTTTTTGAGCAGAAGAATGGAGGTAGGTTCCTTGTATTCTTGAATCCACAATGCTTTCGATTTCCATCCTCTCAAATTTAGGCCTCACCCATTGACATATGTGAATAGGCAATTGTTCTAAATCTCTTATTATTGCTGCTCTACCTGTTATGAGCTCTAGCAACACAATCCCAAAGCTGTATATGTCACTCTTTTTGTTAAGTTGTCCAGTGCTGCAATATCTGGAGAGAATAAGAAAAAATAATAACTGTGAACAATATATTTAATGAAACAACCCCTCAGTCAAAATGGTTTTAAAATATTGAAGTACCAAAATTTGAACTTGTCATATCAACAACTGGAAGAAGAATTTCTTGGTTTCTCGGCAACATATGACCTCAAAGATTTTCTATGAGAACTCTAGCTATTAGCATGATTAAAACTTACTCAGGATCCAGGTATCCAAATGTTCCTTTGGCCGCTGTTGATACATGAGTGACACTTTCAGTTGCAAGACCTTTAGACAGACCAAAATCAGCTATCTTAGCTTGCAACTTTTCATTCAATAAGATATTGGATGTCTTTAGATCTCTATGCACAATAGGTGGCTTGCAACCATTGTGTAAATATTCCAGTCCTGCAAAAATATTTATGCCATGAGCTATGGTAAGTAAACTAAATTAAAGTTATATTTATATATACAAGAGATATTGAGGGAGGAAAGTATCAAACACATGACCTATACTAGGGGATCATTTCAGGTGTTCAAATCTATTCATGAATCATGAATGTTCAAACACTAGAAGTACGAATTAGCTCTTATTTTAGTGATATTTCTCTTCTCAATATCAAGGTACGACATAACAAGGTTCGTCTTCAAGCCAATAGAAAGAAAAATACTTGCCTCCTTCTCCTGGAACTCCCACTTCCTTCCAATCACAGTTTGACATGTATGCATAAATTTTTTTGTATTTTTAATGAATTATTTTTGCATATGTGTCAAACCGTGATTTACGAAAATGAGAAGTGTCTCCTTATTAAATCCAAACATTCATTTAGAAGTACTTAAACATAAGGTGTCTGGACATATACACCTAACTTATATATACCTAGTAGTTATTTATTTAGTGTTCAATTACCTCGTGCGGCATCTACTGCAATTTGAAGCCTCTCTTTCCAAGTCAAAACGTTTTTACCTACATCTGCACCCAAGAGTTGTCGATCATCAAGATTCTATATATCTCTGAATTGTTCAAGTTCAAAATAAAATCATTTGCAAAGTCATGCATACCAGATGAAATATGTTGTTCCAAGTTTCCATTGGCTACGTAGTCATAAACAAGGGCCATAGTGTCACCTTCATCGCAGTAACCAATGAGAGAAACCAAGTTCCTATGATGAGCACTCATCAAAAGTATAACCTGCAATTTTGTATGCAACAAGTGTATATATTATTATTTACATCTGTACTTTCGAGATCCAGAGGTAAATCTGAAGTAACCCATTTGCATATATCTACCTCATTTCGAAATTCATTTGAGCCTTGCCTTGATGAACCGAGTAACTTCACGGCAACTTGAGTCTCATTTTTCAGAGTACCAAGGTACACTTTTCCAAAACCGCCTCTTCCGATTATTGATGCAAAATTATTGGTAATCTTCACAATCTCTGAGTATGTAAACCGTTGACCTTGTGACTCCAAAAATTCATTTTTATTGAAATTCATCATCTCTACACCAAAAAGGGTTATCAGCAAAATACTCCCGGAAAAGAAAAAAAAAAACTTATTTGGCAGTCTTACCATGTTGTCTTTTCCTTTTAAAGACCACCCATAAGACAGCTAATATTGTTGATAAGAGAATGAAGAATCCAAGGATATACACTGCTAGGTGAATATTGGTACGGTGTTTCTTCTTTAGTTCGCAAGGGACTTGTTGGGATAGATTTGGATTTTCGCAGAAACTGATAACAAAATGGTAGAGGGCAACCGTTAAGATTTTGATGGATATCAAAATAGTAGTGTTCTTCTATGATTGTTTCTTTTCTTTTCATATTTTTTTGGCATAAGATAAGAGGGCACAAAAACAAAACTACACTAGACCCAACCTGGGATTTGTTTCTTATGTTTATTTGTTAATAAATAAACTGACCTGAATGATAGCAAAGCATCCTTCCTTCTTTGAATGAGTCCTTTCGGAACAGAACCTGTGAGATTGTTTTTGTCCAACTTTCTGAAAAGCCAAAACCACTGCATTTTGTCACCATAATTTGTACTTAATGAAGGAATTATAGTTTATCCCATTAGCAATTCAATAACTTACAAGACGGTTAACTTTGGCAGGTGAGACAGAAATTCTGGAATTGATCCCGTTAATTTGTTGTTTGATAAATCCCTAAAATGATGAACATCAACAAGTCATGACTACTTATTGTGTACATCGTCGTCATTAATTTGGTATGTATGCAGTAGATATTTCAAACACAGTAATTAAAGCATACTTACAAAGTTTGTATCATGGTGAGATTGAATATACTTGGAGATATCTCCCCTGTTAATCCACTTGAGGACAAGTTCCTGGAAGATTGCATATATGTGTGTACCGCAAATTATTACATTAATTCACTAAAACATAAGTGGAAGTTTTAAGTTTTTGTGAAGAGATACTTACAAGGATGTTATTCTTGGCTGCTGGCCATTATTTTCATAATAAGTACAATTTACACCTTCCCATGAGTAAACTTGAGGGCTGCATGGATCTCCTTGCCAATTCCTTTTGATGCTATGTGATGACTTGATGTTTGTGATTGCATTAACTATAATATTTTCATGTGCCAACACAAAATCTCAATCAGAAAACTCACTCTATATGTAGGAAAGTTTTCAAGTGAGGATAACACATGAGAACATCCTATTTTCTGTCTGTGTTCCAATGATCGGAATCCATTTTTAGGCTATTCTAAGGATCATCCCTGCAGAATGGTTCAGTTTCTATCTGATGAACTGCATTTGACTGCCTTTTTTTTTTCGCAGAGATGACCGTAAAAGAGCTACCTAAAGAATAGAAATAGTTCCGATCACGAATTGTAGCAAAGAGAAATTTTTAAGGAAGACCAGTAATTATTACCATCTTGTTGGTTTGTTTCTGGTTCTGCGAAGTCTTTGACCATATAGGTCTCGAAAGCATTGAGGATCGGTGGGAGGGTAGAGTTCCCAGCCTTAATGATTGAAAGAGTAATATATTGTCCTCTGCTCCAATCCGACAGGCTAAAAATCGTACTTACAGACAAGTACTTAGGAGCAAATAGCCCAGAATAGAGCTCTCCGTTCCTAGTAATGTTAAACTGTCGAGACTCGTTGCCTTGGAGCTTTTCAACTTCTGCAAAGTGCATGTAAACATAATATTTTGCAGTGTTATCGGAAGGGAGCCAGAAAATATTCACGGAATCATCTACATTTTTTGGCGTGGCAGCAGTAGCCAGCACGACAGATGGTGGTTGGTAAGTATTGTTAGTGTTAATTGAAGACGAGGTGTTTAATTGTGTCCACTCATCGCGGTCATAGCCATACCAGAAGCGATCATATATATCGTCTGGATACCTAAACACAGATGATATATTTCGTGGTTAATGAAAAAGAATGGAAATTCTAAATTTATACATATACAATAAACATATTGCACAACATATGGAGCACATGTACGACATCCATATCGACACTAGACTGACACCATGGCGGAGTCCGGATTTCAAGTGTGGAAGAGCCTCTTATAATATATTTTAAAAAATTTGAATTCACAATACATGCCAAAGTAACCAGGAGTACCAAAACATCATATACATTACATATATAAAAAAATATATTTGCAACCATTTTCCTTTGGTATAAATTGGAAGACTCATTAAACGCAATAGAGAGAATAAATCAAAATTTCACAAAACCAAACAAACCATATGTTGAGAGAACCCAATAAAAAAAAATTCACAAACTCAAACAAACCATAGGCGGAGAGAATAGATGAAAAACCCACAAGGGTGTCTTTCAAATAAATTTATTTGAGGGATTTCTCAAGTGAAGCTGTGTGTGTTATAATATGCACGGAAATTACTGACCTATACAATTGCTTCAAATTCGCTGTTTGACCCGTGTCATACCGCGAATCAAGTGCCAAGGACCCTTCCTGTGCTTGATAAATTGTATTAGGCAAAGTCCTTAGCTCTATTGCTGATATAAATGGAACCCCTTTGTTTGTGTCCACCAAACAAACATGTATATAGTTTAGCAGAGGGACATGTATGAGCTCTTTGTTTGCGACGGTGGACGCACTCTCGAACTTCACTGAATCCCACAAATTAGGCCCAAGATGCAGTTGGAATTCTGGCAATCTATACTGGTCGTCATAATTCCCATATAAGAAACTTGCTCGGATCAAATATTTGGTACCCCTTGTAACGTTTATTTTGTAGCAGTTCCGAGTGCCTTGAGGAAAAACCCTAAGAGACCAGTATGGCTGCATCTTATTTTGTTGATCAGTCAATATAACAACCTTACTTTCATTGGTTTCAATGAAGCTTTCATCTGAAATATAGTTAATGCCTGTTTCCTTTTCAGTATAGCTAGAATTTGTTGCTAGGCCGCAGTCGATGCTAATGAAGCCTGAGACAGAACATCCACATAAACATATATACATATTTTCTCTTGTGCGGACGTCTAGAAGTTATACGTATATATGAAAGATGAAAGAGAGAGAGAGCACCAAGTTAACTTTTATTTATGTGCTCTTGCAGAGGTATATAATCATACCTGATTGATCCTGGGCATGAACAAGGAGCGTAAGATTGAGAGCAAAACCACCAAACTGCAGTACTGCAAAGAGGAGGAAATGCTTCCATGTCCGCCACATATCGTTGTACTCAGGAGACACTTAGCAAATTTGTTTGTAATTTGATATGATCATTTATTATAAAATTTCCTCCATTTGTGATGGAGGAACACCAAGTGCCATGGGGTGTCAGGTTGACGGTTGACCCTAATTAGCTACTTGTTTTAGTCTTCCCTCCAAGTGATTAAGATGCATGCTGTAGAATAAGTTTAAAATTCCCATTATTTTATTTTGTTTAGTTTCCACTGTATCATATGCGGTAAAATATGATCCACTAACTAGTTGATAAAGAAACTTTAACCAATCGTTCTAGAAGAGGTGGGGACTACAATGACAGAAGCCAACACCAAGTCGCAAGGTTTTTACCTGTAAAACTAATTCCATAAATCATCACACACACATGAAATTACATGAAAGAAAAGGTCTTGAATCAGACTAGGACATCTCTGAAGATTTCATATTGATGAAAGCTTCAAAGAAAGTTTTCTACTAGTACTTTCTAGATAATAGGTTCTTATGTTCAACTAGCAATAGGACTAAAATGTTTTTGAACTTATATTTCTAACAAAGCTTAAAAGGACTCCTTAGTATCATGTATTTCCTTACTCACACACCCAAGGTTTTGAAAAGCGTATTATGTATATATTTCCTAATTCACACGTACTAATACTTTCTATATAGCATTTAATCCTTAGTCACGCTTACCTAAGGACCTAAACATGTGGACATGTGATGACCTCTTTAATAAAATCCCCTTAGATTAATCCAACAGCATATTTAATAAAGACCCTTTATAATTGACTATATATTTACTTAATACTTTCTGTTTAGACAGATTCACTAACAGATACTACATAACAAATTTTCAATTTATCAATATGCGCAACACATGTCAAATCTAATATTTAGTTAAATACTTAAATTTGGCACACAAGAATATTCGAGCGGGGATAGCTCAGTTGGGAGAGCGTCAGACTGAAGATCTGAAGGTCACGTGTTCGATCCACGTTCACCGCAATTGATTTAGATAATTTTGGGGTTTT